TTTGAAGAACATAATGCTATGAAACTGACAACGATGTATTGTATGGGCACATATGACAGTGAGTTGTCTTTGGCTGCAGCTTAATATATACATGGTGGTACCAGAGATGCCAAATAATAAGCAGGCCCCAGTTAATATCTGGAAGGCTTGGCCTGATGGATCACAAATGGTCCAGGTTGACTAGAAAGCTGTGTGCGTGTTGAGCATAGCTAGTGACCTCCTTCAGGACTGGCTAATATACTGGTCTTTAATGGAAAGGTCACGATCCATGACTGATCAATGTTGACTGGAAGCAAAGGCAACTTCCCACAACTAGGCTTCTTCCCTCAGCATGGACCAGCCACTCTTTGTCTCATCCCTCAGGGACCAAATTCGGGAAGGGGAATGGAAGCTGGCTCCCAGAGATGCAGCCTGCAACCCTGTCACCATGAGAGACAGAGATCAAGTTAAATGGCAGGCAATGCTTGGGGATATTTGTGGAAACCTAAATATAGGGTTATTCAGAGGCCCAGCTCTGACCAGCAAACCTGGAATGTCTCTCTCTGCCCTTGCAGCTGGTATGGAAAGAGCTGCACTGGCTGCAAGTCTCCTGAGGCCACCAGAACAACTTCAGGGGGGAGCACTGTAGGTGGGGTGGGGCAGGGAGGGGATGGGGCAGGTTCTACCAGTGCCCATAGCATCTTGGCAGTGCCTTGGCCTCCTTTTCTTGCACTCCAGAGCAAGCACTTTCCTTGCACCTCACACTCTGGAGCAAAATTGGCCACTTAAGTGTTTTGCAGGGTGGGAGAAACACAGAGATGCTCCTTTCACCCTCCATAAGATGCCCATAATCCTCTGGGTTTGGAGTGTGACAGGCTACCTCATGCTTAGAAATAGCTGGAATAAGCTATTGTCTTATGCTTTAATGATTAGTTCAGGCAAAAGTACTATGCATTTCATACTAACTTAAACTTTTCCTTTAAGAATGCTCATTGTGACAGAAGCAGACACTCAACTGTCTTCATCTTGTGGCTTGAAGATGCTTCAGACTATTCTTGAACAGCTGACATTTTTACTCAGCTGATGGAATTCCCTGGCTTGTGCTTGTTTTCCTTAAGCAAGTAGCATTTTGCAGCTTCTTTAGCCAGAGGGACAGACCTTACCTCTGCTAATACAGTGGAGAAAGGGCCTGTTGACAGGCCCTTTCTCCACTGTATTCAACATCTATGTCAGGGTTTCTACAGTGGCTGCATGCAGCAATCCTGAGTTTAAGTCCCAGGCCCTACCTGGGATCTTTGCTGTGGAAAGCATGCGTTCTATCACTGAGCAATGCCCATAACCCAAAGTTGGGATGTAATTAGTATGTCACATAAGTACCAGTAAGTTTGTTGTGTTTATCACATGATGCCTGCAGATGTTCATGTAAGACAGGGATGGGCTGACTTCAGCCTTGCAGGATCTTGTTCAGTTGCAAAGTTGTGTCCGACTCTTCACAACCCCATGGACAACATTCCTCCAGGTTCTCCTGTCCTCCACCATCCCACAAAGGACCCCCAAGCCTGCACCCACCTCTCCAGTGACCTCATCCAGCCACCTCAGCCTCTGCCGTCCCCTTCTCCTCTTGCCCTCAATTGTTCCTAACATCAGGGTCTTTTCCAATGAGTCCATCCTTCTCATTAGGTGGCCAAAGTATTTGAGCTTCAGCTTCAGTATCTGACTTTATAAAGAGCAGTCTGGGTTGATTTCCTTTAGGATTGACTGATTTGATCTCTTTGCAGTCCAAGGGACTCTCAGGAGTCTTCTCCAGCATCACAATTCAAAAGCATCGGTTCTTCAGCACTCAGCCTCCCTTATAGTCCCACTCTCACAGCCATACATTACAACTGGGAAAAACATAGCTTTGATTGCAGGATCTACTTGGTGTTTTATTACAACTTCAAGGCCGACCAACTGAATTCAGAATTCTTAACTGCAGGGGGTAAAAAATCTGTATCCACAGCAACATCTTTCTCCTCCTATTTTATTCTAGCACAGATGTGGAGGGGCTGACCTGGATTAGGAGCCTAGCATGGGAGCTTTTGAGAATCCCTTGTGCCTACTGTAAAGTAAAAATGAAACAAATGAGTGAACAAACATAATGCCACTTCTAGTTATGAATTCAAGGAAAAGCCTGTTTTGGTACCCTGTTTTCAAAAATTCTATGTCCAAGGGTTGATTCTGAGTACCAGAACCAAATCAAGCTCAACATCCATCCACACACAAATCCTTTCCCTAGCATACTAAGCCATCCTCCCCTAACCTGTTGTCCTCCAGACACCTTGGACCAATTCCCAGCAACCTCAGCCAGTGTGCACAATGGTCAGGGAAGATGGATATTGTAGTCCACAGCATGTAGAAGGTACCCATTTGGGAAAAGCTGCACTAAGCTTTCTTCATCACAACAGCATAATTTGGGGGTGGGCAAGTCTGTGTGTGTGTGTGTTTGAGAGAGAGGGAGGGAGGGAGGGAGGGAGGGAATATTTTTCCTGCTTTTGTTGAGTGATTGGAAATCATATTCCTTGTCTAGCAAATGGAGGAAATTTTGATCTAGCAGTAGATCAAGATCCACTTTTAGTCCCCATGTGTGGTGTAGGGTGGGTGCATGCGTATGCAGGAGGATTGCAGTGATGGTGCCTCTTTTGAGTGCCCGCCTCCCCATATTGCTTGGAATAAGCTCAAAGTGGCTTGCATAGGACTGGTTGTATTCATACACCTCAAAAAATGGAGCAGACCAACATGCAGCTCCTGCCTGTCTGTATAGGCCACTTTGTTCGTGTTCCAACCATGTGAAGCTTGGGTAAATGGAGGGTACAAGATGCACGATCCCTTATTCTTTCTACATTGAGGGAAGAACATTTGCTCGGGCTTGTCAAGACAGCCGTTACGGGATGTCTCAAGGCCGACCTTCTGTATCACCTCCTGGGAGCTGCAGACATGACATTTCAGTTCATTCATTCAACTATGAATCGCTGAGGGACTCATTATGCAAACTCATGGAGCCAAACCTGAAGTGACTGAGAGCCTCACTGATAGTATCCAAACTAAAATTCCATTTTTTCACCCTTTAGGAGAATCCACTTCAGAAGGAGACAAGATTGAACAGAAAAGGGTTGTCCATTATATGTATACATGTGCTCAAACCTTTCCCCATTTTCATTCCAAAATGCACTCTTTGAAACTCTTTCTAAGCACACGTTTGTGAAGGTTGAAGGCAGATTTGGGGCCTCACTAGAGGGTGTGGGGACCTGTTAGGATAAGTAGTTTGGAAAGAAATGGCTTGATGGGGAAAGTATTATACCTCCGTATTGTTTTGCTGCTCAAAATGGACCATTCTCAAATTTCACTGGGAGCTGAACTTACTCGTAAGTGGTAAGTTATTATCACCCTGTTCATGCAGCCATCAGAGTTGCATGTGGAAGTGTGGCAGTGGACCTTCCAAGTGGCAGTGTTCATCATCATCATCATCATCATCATCATCATCATCATCATCATAGTTTCTAATCCACCCTATTAGCCACATGGATCCCTGGGTGGGTTGCAATAATGAAAATGCAGAATAAAATACAGTATAAAAATAGAAATTACAATTAAAATGTGCAGAACTGATAACATGCCCTACAGTTAAAATGCTACTTAAAACAAATTAGTAATTAAAACACTGTTGGAATAAAAAGGTCTTCACCTGGCACCTAAAAGAATATAGGGAAGGCATCAGGCGAACCTCTCCAGGGAGCTTGTTCCAGAGTAAGGGTGCCACTGCAGAAAAGACCGTTCTTTGTGTTGCCACCCTCCTTATTTTCTGAGGAGGGGCTCCTTCAGAAAGGCCTCAGAAGCAGATCTAAGGTGCTGGGTAGGTTCATATGGGAAGAGGCGCTCCTTTGGATACCCACGTCAGATTTGTACCCACAAATGGAACTCTTGCAAAAACACAGTGTCCCTGTTCATGCAGACGTGCCTTTTTACTATTCACGCAATGGATACAGTACAAAAACAGGTACTCAAAATACTATTATTAGTATCCTATTGTATTTCTTCCTCTTGCAAGGAACACAAGGTGGCTTACAAGGTTCTCCTCCTCTCCATTTTATCCTCACAACAACAACAACACTATGAGGCAGCTTAGGCTGAGAGTCTGTGACTGACCCAAGATATATGCAGCAGAATGCTGTATCTCAAGAAAATATGCTATATTGTTTCATGTATGATTTGAGAAATGAAAAAATGTGTGTAAAACATATTTATGTATTTGATTTACTTTCTACTTTTCCACTAAGAAAGTGGGACTCTTATGTCCCCTTACAAAGAGTTTTTGTTGTTTTGTTGGATGTGGACTAATCAGACTATCTCTCTGGATGTGGATTTATGCAAGAAATCAGGAAATCCTTGATGCTAAGTTACATCTTTTTTTAAAAAGATGCCATAACTTTAATTTGACCAAAGGAAATCCAGGATAGAATAGATATGATAACTCTTGCAAACTTGCCTTATAAAAGGTTTTGTGTGCATGTTGTGTGAGTGAAAGGTTCAAGGCCTCTTCTGTGTACTTTTTTTAGAATAATGGATTGAGAAAGTATCATTGTATTTGCATGAGAAAAAACTGTACTGTGAAACTTCTGTCCACTGTACTTCTTTAAAGGTGTCCATTTAAAAAAATAAAGGAAGCTAGTCGGGTCAGCTTATTTTAGTTCTTTGCTGCATGGATAATGCATTTTAATTCCACCTCTACACATCCTGTCCAAAGCAATCCATGTTGCTCTTGTAAGACTTAAATCCCTTATCCACTTACCTGGGAGTAAGTCCAACTGAACTTAGCAGCATTTATTTTTGTGCAGACACCTATAGGACTACGTGGTAAATAAAGTAATTTTAAATGCTGAGATAAGAAGATCACAACAAAATGCTGATCTAATACATTGCAGCTAGTGGTCATCTTAAAAAGTCTGAAGTCATAAGTAATCAAGGGCACAGGCAATGCTACTTACTCTTAGACATTTCCAAGAGTGCTTCCGATCTGAGGAGTTCATCAGACTCAGCTTGGCTGCTGCAAATCATTCTATTATGCAGGCTGGTCTCTGTGGATGGTTTTTTTAAGATCTCTTCAACTGAGAAAGGCAAAATGGGCTTCTCCTGGTTGCCATGTTGCTTCAAGATGCTCATCTTTATTCCATGATTAGGGTAGAATCTCAGAGTCAAATGTTTGTATTGTGGTAAGCCAAATATACTCCGTATATTCCACAGTGTTTCTGCAGTGCATTGTATGCAGGGAGAAAACAAGTAGATCTTTGATTTCCTCTCCTCGTTGACATCTCCTTAGATTCGTTTAAAAGATGGAAGGAAGCATGAAGCCCACGTTCTTTTTCTGATCCCTGAAATCCAGTTTTGATAAAGTCTTGAACTGTAAGCAAGCATATGACTATCAAATAGAAATACCATGCACAGCTCTATTCATTCCAAAAGAATATATCTCCTACACCACTGCAGTCTAGTATTTTAAGGATCTTCATACATCCACTCTAGTTATGAGCCTGAGAGAAATTCTTTGTACATCCAAGATCTTGCTAGAAAGGCCCAATAAAGAATGGCTTGATATGAAAAGGGAAAAAGATTACTTTCCTTTGTTGTCTTTCCTGAGAAATCTGCATAAAGGCACAAACATTTTCTAGTCTGGGCCAAGAGGAACTATAGGTTTTGAGAAAAAAATATGTATGCTTATTATGGCTGCTTGGAAATTATTTGAAAATCTTCAGAATAAATGAAGAAGATTTTTGGAATCACTGCTATCCTTTCTGCAACTATTTGAAGATTTCATCTTCACTATGTTTTAGAACTTTGTGAAAAGTTCCCAAATTGCTGCCCTACATCCAGTCCTTGACAAAATGGAAATGATAATCAGAAAAAGAAACTAGGAAGATTTTTCTGTTTTTTTCAGTTCCCTTTTCCTTAACAGAACAGATCTGGTTGAGAAATATTCCAAAGGTTAGATCTTTTGCTCCATGTCAGCTCCACCAGGAACAACATTGGGGCAGTTATCTTTTTCGCCTTCTCCTTTTAATCTCTCTTGTCACTTCCTTTAAACCTAATAACTAGTGCATTATAAAAAGTACCTTAAAAAATCTCCTAATATTTGTCTTCTGTTTTGAATGTTACCTTCCTGACTGTGGATTTTGGCTTCTTCTCTCACGTTGCTGCCTTTTGGTACCTTTATTCTGCAATTGTACAGACAGACCATTCCTTATTTGTCCAATTACCTTACAATTGTTGAGCTGATATACCATCATATGATCCTTTGTAAAGCATAGGCTAAAATTACTGTGTAACCAGGTGGCAATAAAACATACCCGATAAGGTGAAAGATTGGTGGAGCGCTGCTCCGAAAGGAGAGATGGTAGAGACAAAGCATCCTACAATCAGGCATATCAGGGTGTTTGTAATGATCAAACAGTACAGTCCTGTGCATGTTTACTCAGAAGTAATTCTTATTGTGTGCTGCTGAGCTTTTGCGCAGATAAGATGTACATTGTGTGCAGTTCCACCCTATACTTTATGTATTTATTTATTTCATTTCTCTACTGCCCCATAGCCAAAGCTCTCTGGGTTGATTTTACAACGTACATAAAACAATGCAATAAAATGCCATAAAATGCCATAAAGTTTTACTAAAGGAGCATTAGTTAGTTAAAAATAGCCAAACGCATGTAGTGAAGAATGACCCTGTGCAAGAAAAATGCCTGGGGTGGGTAATCCCTTCAAGCCCCTGGCTAACCAAGTACATCTTAAAAGCCTCAGCATAAAGGTTGTCGTAACATGAAGCCAAAAAGATGATGAGTTGGGTGCCAGGTGGGCTACAGTGTGGAGGTCATTTCATAGATGTGGGGCCCATCTGCCTTGTTGCCACCCTCCATGCCTCTCCTGGAGTACTCAAGAGAGGGCCCCGGATGTTGAAGCCTTCAGAAAGGCCCCCAGAGTATACATGTTTACTTATAGCATGGTAAACATTCCATTCTTCTCCTGTCTGAACTGTGGGTTTTGCCCTACTGATAAGAGCTGAGCAGGATTTTGGGGAGATTGGAGCTTCCCGTATTGGAGGCTGCAAACTGAAGGTATAGAATTGCCCTTTTAGCAGCCCTGATTCAGTTTCACACATCATATCTAGCAGATCTGATTTTGACTTGCTCATTTCAGTTCCTCTTGAAGACTTGCTGCTGAATGTGTGAACTCACTCTATTATTACTGTGTTTCAGATGATGATACAAAAGATTTGTCTCTCTGTGGAATTTAACCTGTAATGGCCCATTCACCCAACATACAAGACCCCACATGATACTGCCGCATCTGCTGATGCGCATGGACATGCAAACCAGCCCAGAAAGAGTACATGCACAATTCTACAAAGTGCAAAACTATTGCTTGCTATTGTTTTTGCTATGTGACTAGATATGAGATAGGGAGACCCAAGGGATTACTGAGTGCGGAGGTGTAACTTGTATGAGGGACTGGGGTGCTATTTGTTGTTGAAGGACAGGGTAGAGTATTTTGTGGTGGTTCATCAAAGTGGAGGTTCTTCAAGGGACCTCTCAGAGCTTCTCCTGCTAGGCAAGCTACCAAAGCAATGCCATTTCTGCACAGCTGAGAGGATGCTCCCTGTTTAGTGGTAATGTGCACCTACGACATCAGGAAAGCTGTAGGTACCAGCAGGCAAATATTCCCAACGGAGAAAGAGGATTGATTTGCGACAGATAGCCCTTTTTGCTGAGACACTGTTCTACAGCATGCTGGTCGTCATTGACTGTGGCCTTACTGGGAATCAGTGGCATCAGCAGGGAAGCAGAGCTGGCATCTAGAGTAGGCTTGGTTGGGCATCTGCCAAGAGCCCGCATCCCAGCAGGAGCCCACTAATAAGATGTCACTGGACTTGCTTCTTTCTTTGCTG